GTTTTCCTAAAGACTTTCACATTTCCGGAGATAATGAATGTAAATGCACCAACAATCCCTTCCATTAAGACCTAACAATATCAAACGACTATAAAGCCTTATATACCGCTAGAGATATCAACACGTATCTCCATCGGGTTTTAAACTCTCTTTGTGGTTTAAAAGCAAACTCTTCTCTCTCACGAAGACACCAGGAACTATTAAAAGGAAACTATTAATTCGCTAAGCCAGATCTATCATTTCTCTTAACCGCCAAGTTGCCTTTTAGGATGAAAACCACTGGCTAAGAACTGGATGGTGAGGGGAACGGCGTTGGTGATTTGTTATTTACATTTTTTACTTATTAGTAAGGTTGTTATTGTAATTATCCCTTTTATTATTGGTGCTCCTGTTCTCGTTACTGTTGCTATTGTCGTTAGCATTACCATTACTGCAGTTATAATTCTTAAAATAGTTACTATTTCTATCACCAGTAATACTAATACTATTCTATTTGTCCTTATTATGTACTCTTTATTAGCATTAACAGCATTCTCCTTTATACGTCATCATCACCGCTGCCACCATTATCGTAACAACAATTATTAGCATTATCGTCATCTAGCCTCTAACCACTAATTAGGCACAGTAAATCCCAAATAAGCTTACTGCAGAGCCTTAATGATTCACAAAGACAAATAACTCTGGCTTCGTCACAACACGGAATATTTTTTAAACCACAGTACAATTCCAGGTCTCGCTTGGGGAGTTTTTTTTTTTTTTTTTAGATTTCTCTCATGCTTGACCTTGAACTGACATTGAGCGAATAGGTCTCTCTCTCTCTATCTCCCTCTCTATCTCTCTCATTCTCTCTCTCTCCCGCCTCTCTCTCTCTCGCCTCTCTCTCTCCCTCTTTCACACCTCTCTCTTTCTCTCTCCCTCCCTCTCCCCCCCTCTCTTTCTCCAAGCTGAAGAGTGGTAAAGCAGTGGGTATCTGTGGCATCTCAGCTCAACTGTTGAAAGCTGGTGGAGAACCTATAACAAGAGCTTGCATGCTGTCCTGTCTGTCATCTGGCAGATTGGTACCATTCCCCCTGACCTGCCGAGGGATGCCATCCCTCTCTGGAAGGAGAGGGGGGGGGGTGTAATTCTTCTCTTAATTTCTTTTTCCCACCTGATATCCTTTGTTATAGTAGTACCGTGGTAATTGAAAGACGAAACCTGTTTTATTTCCTGATCTTTTACTTTCACCGAACATCTCACGCCTCCTTTCTTTGATATAACCATACATTCGGTGTTCTTACTATTTATAGTTAACCCACCGATTTCACTTTCAAACCATATCCAGGAGCCTTTGTAGATCCTCTTCCGATTCTGCTAAGAGTACCGTATCGTCCGCGTAACGTATGTTAGTAATGTTATGCCCACCCAATTTCAACCTCCTTTCTTGCTCTAATGATCTAAGAATCAATTCACTGTATAAATTAAAAAGCTCTGGAGACATAACACACCCTTGTCGAACGCCTCTTTTGATATTTATATATTCACTGTGCTCCCCGTCTATTCTAATACATGCAGACTGTTTCCAATGCAGATTTGTAATAATCTCAAATCCATCCTGCATAGTTATTCGGACAAGATGTTGTGCCTGACTTTATGGAAGGCCTTGGTGTACTCAATAAAACACAAGAAAACCTGTTGCATTTTTACGGCTCTTTCCAACGAATTAGTTAGAACAACGATAGCATTTCTGGTACCTGCATCTTTGACGAAACCAAACTGCATCTTTCCAGTTTCAGGTGATAACCTATTTCTTGCTCTCAGAAGCAGAACGCGGAGTATAAGCTTCGTGATATGACTCATAAGACTGATCGTTCTGCTCACATTCCACGGCTACGGGCTTTTAAGGAAGTGCAATGAACATTTATTTACTCAACTCATCGGGAAAGACACCATCGTAATAGATTTTATTTACTACTTCTTTCAGTTTTTCAATACCATAATCGCCAAGCGCCTCAATCATTTCCATTCCTATCCCATCTGGACCAGCTGCTTTGTTTCTCTTCATCCTCCTTAAAGTTTCCCTAATTTCTGAGGGCAGGATCTTCTGACCTTCCACCGATTCTGTGAACCGTGGGAGATCTAGTCTTACATCATCGAATAATCCAGATATGTATTGCGTCCATCTACCAAAAATCTTTCTCTACAAGCATAGTCTCATCTTTTGCTCTGATACACCCGGAATTTGAGCAGCCTGTCTTTCTGTTTGATATTTCATTTATCCTTTTGTACACACTGGGGTCGTTTCCTGAATGCAAATACCGTTCGATCTCGACACATTTTCTATTTAATCAGTTCTCCTTCGCTTCTGTGCACTTCTCTTTGATTCCCTTATCTAAATCTTTATATTCACTACTTTATTTTCGATCTTTCGTCTGCTGCTCATCATTGATAGTATCTCTTCCGTCATCCACTTATGCTTCTTATCCTTCATCTTCTTGGGCAGCGTTTCTTCAGCTGAATCTACCAATGTATTCTTTAAATTCTCCTGCATTGTTTCCTCTCCTTGATCTGTTAGATTGTCAAAGCGGTTCTTAACACTGAGTTTATACTTGTACCTAATGTGTTGTTTGTTAAATTGTTCATAATCCACTTTCTGAATGTTTTTAGGTTTACTTATTTTCTTCAACTTACACTGAAATTTTGCCACAACTGGTACATGGTCAGTCCCGCAGTTGTGGTGGCAATGCTATTAGTAGTAGAAGGTGTTGTAGAAGTGGTAACAACAGTGGTATTATTATTTTAAGGTTATTATTGTTTTTAGTTTTAGTCATTATTACTTCTCAACGTCCATCGACACCAATCAATTCTTCCTTAATCACCACGTGGAAGTTCTCGGCCTAATGTCTCTTTAGAGACATTATGTAAATTAATTTTCCAAACCAAATGAGAGATTGTGATGAAACCGAGAGATCTTTTTTCTCTGGAGGAGTCTAGGCTACCACTTGCAAATTGCATGCGGCATTGCATTGCAACGTGCAACACGCAGAATAGTGCAAACCTTTCTATAGAGTCTAGACATAAAAATGGATAAATAATAAGGTAAGATAAAGTTAGTTACCTGAAGAATTTTCATTTTTTCAGTTCAGTAAGATTTGCAAATGCCTTGTTAATGACCCGATCTACCGTAAGTTTAGCGATATAGCCACAGGTAAGGGTGAACTGTTAGCACCTCTCCATTCTTTTCCTTTTTTACTTCATACTGAATCGAAATTACTCCCGACCAGGAGACCAGGAGAACCTTTGTAGTCGAATAATTATCTCGCAAACCCTAGCTAGCGGAAAATCGCTACGGAGTGAGCGCCAATCCACCCAAGCGAAAAGAGGAAAATTATGAGTGATTCAACCGCTGTCACCCTAACGCAGACCTAGATAGAATCCATAGACCATTTCCCAAGAGGAAGGTTCCATAACGTGCGTAAAGCAATTGCTGGTTGGCAAAACACGCTACGACATTGACTTTGTTTAAACTCATTGCTGGACAGATTTGATGCTGGCATTTTGGATAGCAATTTGCAGTTGAAATCTATAGATATTCAAAATATACTGTTTATATTTTTATGATAGAACTTACGCTAACAGTATATACATATATACATGTATGTATGTATACATATATAAACATATATATTATATATATGTATATATACATATATGTGTGTGTGTGTGTGTGATATGTGAATTACTCTATCAACAAATTGATATCACTACCACAGTCACACATATATATATCACTAAGGTGTTGTATATACCACAGCTGCTGTTGACTTCAGTTTTGTTCTCGTAACTCTCGTAACTGTCTGGTGCTAAGTTGCATGTGACGGAGAGGGTACTTACTGCATGGCCAGCAGCCTGCCTTCCACATCACCCTCGCTCGTGCCTGCACCCTGGAGAGGACCCTCCAGTGCTGCTGCAAGAAGACGACACAACACGAGAAGTGACAGTTACCGGTCTCAATTGGCGTAGTGTGTGGCGCCAAAGGGCATGGCTCTTCAAGGCACAGACCAATGGCTAGTAGTGACTGATAGATGCCATATATTATATATATATATATGTGTGTGCTGTGTATGTTTATATATGTATCTTTCAGTTGAGAACTATAACATTAGGTTTAATAGATCAATACGTAATATCTATATTCAATGTTTTTAAGTAGATTGTCGACTTAATAAACTGATATTAATTTCAGAATGAATAACCCGCATGCGATATATTGAGGATTTTCGTAATATTATAAAGAATAAACGTTCCCTTCATATTCACTGTTCTTGTTCTCTCCTTGTTCTGTATTTCTCTCTTTTCTTTTCTTTTCTTGTCTTTTTTAAGTAGCAGGTGTCAGTGCTTACCTGTCCATTCTGTTAATTACAATTGTTTGATTGCCACGTATATGTTAGGCATTACCTTGATATCAACTAAGGTAGGACTAGGGTTTAAGCTTGATTCATTATCCACTTATTAATCACACCCTGCTCACCCCCTTGACGTCACTGGCATGTTCGGGTAGTCCCATCGATTCTGTGATTCGTGGTAAATACCTGTAGGGCATGTCTCGAGCGCCATCACAGATCTGCAGATAGAGTGGGTTATTTATATTTTTTTCCAGCTCGTTTTCGCTTCAATACGGTATTTTGGGCACAGACCCCCCGTCAATAAAGTCTGCATGCACAGCTAGACATTCTTACCTCGGCAGATTTGTCCCCGAGAAGATTCACTTGCGAGAAGCTTGCGAATAATTTTTTCACGTCACTATTCATTAGTGCGTCATTCTGTCGCATATCATTAAATTTTTAATTCAATGTGGTAGTTGAAATAATTTTGTATTAATTCTATAGCTAATTTATCGCATTTTGGTTAAAATGAACGTTAATTTGAGGTTTAGCATACATGTCCACTCTGTGAGGTCACTCTCACTCTCACTATATCCGAGTGTTGCTTGTACTCTTCAGAAATAAAAGAGTAAGCCATCGTCCCCTATCATTACTCCTGCATAACCAATGTGTAAAGGTGTTCTAAATAGTCTCTTACATAGATATTGTTACGTTTTATATATGTGTGTGTGTTTGTAAATATCATATACGTATGTATAGAAAAAAATATATATATACATATATATCTATATGTATCCATATACATATATGTCTATATGTATCCATATACATATATATGTGTATATGTATCTATATACATATCTATCAACTGTATTCTTATTTCCTCCCCGGCAGGCGGCCCCCTGACCCTCTACAACCAGGTCGGGACCAAGAGTTTCGTCGTCGGAATCACCAGCCTGGGCCCGAGGAGCTGCGGGTCCTCCAACACCCAGGGCCTCTACACCAGCGTCCGCTTCTACATCCCGTGGATTCTCAGGACCATTCAGGGATAGATGGAGGAGGAAGGAGTGAGTGGAAGGAGGAAGGAGTGACTGGGAGGAGGATGGAGTGACTGGGAGGAGGAAGGAGTGAGTGGAAGGAGGAAGGAGTGACTGGGAGGAGGAAGGAGTGAGTGGGAGGAGGATGGAGTGACTGGGAGGAGGATGGAGTGACTGGGAGGAGGATGGAGTGACTGGGAGGAGGAAGGAGTGACTGGGAGGAGGATGGAGTGACTGGGAGGAGGATGGAGTGACTGGGAGGAGGATGGAGTGACTGGGAGGAGGAAGGAGTGACTGGGAGGAGGAAGGAGTGCCTGGGAGGAGGAAGGAGTGAGTGGAAGGAGGAAGGAGGAGGAGGAGGATGGGGACTGAAGAAGATAATAATTGGAGAGGTTGAGAAGGAGAGGAAGGGGGAAGAGGGAGGGTTATGTGAAGGTTGGAAAGGAAGAGAAGAGGAGAGTGGAATACGTTTGCACACGGAAGCACACGCAAACACACAGCGAAATTGTGTTAGTGCATCATGCATACATGCATATATATATATATATATATATATATATATATATATATATATATATATATATATACATATATATATATATATATATATATATATATATATATATATATATATATATATATATATATATTCTATATATCATATCTATATCTATATCTATATATATATATATATATATATATATATATATATATATATATATAAACATATACACACACACATATCTATATATGTTTGTATGTATGTATGTATATATTTATGCATATAATTATAAAGGAATGAATAAGTATGATTTCTTATATACTCATATTCCTGTTTATATATGTGTGTTTATGCGTGTATGTGTATGTGTGGATAGTAAAGCAAGGAGGACTTGAAAAAGAAACAGAGACACTAGTAATGATAATTGCATATTGATACATATTCTCATATTTTGCCATTTACAGCAGTTTAGTGTTATCAAAGAATTTCATATTTTGATAGTCTTTATGACGAAGGACAATTATATATCGTGTATTTTCCTTTTTTAACAGAAATATAAGTTATATATATAAGTAGTAGAAAGACATGACTACTAACTCTTGTTATATTTTACCCCCCAAAATAACCAAAAATAATGAGTGAAAAATAAGAATAAGAAGAAAAATATGAACGTTGCAAATGAGAATAAAGTCACTCTGTAACCCCCTGAGGTTTCCTTATATCCTTGAACATGGAAAGACGAAAAGATATATTGATAACTTTTTCTCTCTCTTACTCTCTCTCTCTCTCTCTCTCTCTCTCTCTCTCTCTCTGTTGCTTCTTCCATTTCTTGCTTATATTTTTATATTGACGTATACATAAGCATGATTTGTGTAAGCCCTTAACTGAAGATCACATCTGCAGACCAAACCCTAAATTAAGCGCTGCATATCTTTGCAACCAAAAGACTCGAAACATGACGTTGCAGTGATAGAAAATCCTTTGGTTAACCTTGGTGGCTCTCTCGACAACAGCCGCTCCTTAACATATGAACAGTTTTTCTGGTTTCCTCGTGGAAGACGGTCTTACTCAACTGCTCTCTTGTCACTAAAGGTAAATAAATATGTAGCATACGAGATACCTGTATAGCTTACTAAATAATTTAATGGCATCTAGAGAGAGAGAGAGAGAGAGAGAGAGAGAGAGAGAGAGAGAGAGAGAGAGAGAGAGAGAGAGAGAGGGAGAGTCAGACAGAGTGCTTGATCCTTTCCGCAGACTATTTAACAAACCCACTAGCTATTTCATTTCGTTGCAGATTTAACAACCTATTTAACAACAGCAGGTTAGGTTTTTGTAGTTATTATTTAATTACTATTATCATTGAGTTATTATATATCATTGCTACTACATGAAACTAGTAGTGGGTTTATTAAATAGTCTCTATGGAAAGGATGGATTGGATCAAGCACTGAAGATAGTAAATTGTGGGAGGTAGGATCATGAAGCCAAACTAATGCATCTGTCTCCCTCTCTCTGTCTGTCTCTCTCTCTCTCTCTCTTTCTCTCTCTTTCTCTCTCTCTCTCTTTCTCTCTCTCTCTCTCTCTCTCTCTCCTACTCATCGGCTCACTCCCTTCCTCTCTCTCTCTCTCTCTCTCTCTCTCTCTCTCTCTCTCTCTCTCTCTCTCTCTCTCTCTCTCTCTCTCTCTCATTCTCTCTCTCTCTCTCTCTGAAGACCGGACCTTTGGTTCATGTTCTGAACGGCATCCAGTCAGACAAGGTCGTTGCTGCCACAACCCTGTTACATTTAAAGAGAGTGTAGAGTATTCTGAAATGATCTATCTGTATTATCTGTATTCTTATTATCAGTTGCCTATTACCCATGAAGGTTCGTGTATCTCATAAGTAACATAGGGACTACGCAACGCCACACACTAAACGCGGTAATAAATCCTATCGTTCTTTTTAAAAGGCGAGATGGTCGTTGGGCCGAAGGTATAGAAGCCTCCTGAAGGTATTAATTGGATAATGCACAGGCACGATTTTGCAAGTACTTTTTTCAAATCTTAGGAACAGATGGGCAATGTGTGGAGAACTGAGCTCGTCCGCAGTGGGGTTCCAGGAAAGAATAATGTACATGATACCTTTTCTTTTAGTTTCATTTTTTTATTATCTAATCGGTTGGATCAATACTAGTCAGTTACCATAATTTACAAGTATGAATAAAAAAATATATTAATGATATTTATTAATGAGACAAATACCAAAAAAAAAAATAACATTCCTTATTGGTGCATCATGATACACGTCTGGAAATATGACGTCACCGAGCTTTTTTCCTAAGCAGTTGCCTGGGAAAAATGACTGTGGGGAGGAGCCGATAGCTGAAGCAGCGTCGACCGGCTGATTTCCACTCCTCAATCAGCCATTTCTAAAAAAAAAAGAAATCTAATATAAGAATAGATTAGAATTTATACAAAGTCCACTTACTTTATTTAAAGTAAATAGGCTATTTAAGTAGGGGGCTTCAGAAACCGTAGATTACTCACGAGCACGCACGAGCAAGGATTTCAGTAGTAGCCAAACACCTTTACAGCATTACAGTTCGATACAAATCACACACACACACACACACACACACACACACACACACACACACACACACACACACACACACACACACACACACACACACACACATATATACATATATATATATGCAAAACAAGAGTACATTAAATCATGATATTTAAGAGAAATAATAATTAAACGTAAATCCTCTACAAATACATATGTATATACTGTATATGTATATATATATATATATATATATATATATATATATATATATATATATATATATATATATAAATACAGGGGAACTTCCCATAATAGGCACTTCCCGGACTTGGCAACTTCCCCTAATAGGCGGATTTTCCGCGGTCCCGACCGAGGCTAACGTAATTTCTTACTGAAGAATTTCCTGGACTTGGTACTTTGGCAATTGGCGGCTAAACGGTTGTCCCAATTAGCCAATCAGCTTCCCGGACTTGGCATTGGGGCAAACAGGCTCGGTGATTGGCCCGATTAACAATGGAAGACGACGATCATTGCGCGCGACGTACTGATGAAAACGACGACAGCGATGACGAAGGCGAGGAAAACGAAGCACGTCTGGACACAACGATCCGACAAGCAATTGAAATGACCGAAAAGCTTCGGGACTCTTTTCTGCGCGAGAATATGTCTGACTACGCGCAGATGACGTCACAGATGAACAATTCTTTACTTGAGCAACTCGTGTCATCTTCCCGTCAGACTGACTTGACGTCTTATTTCATTCGCACGAACAGTTGAACAATCATGTTTTTTTTTATTATTGAAGTGTCAAATTATCGTTAATGCTCTAGTAAATGTTTTAAAATTGTGTCTTTGAAATGCCTTTTCATACATTTTCATGGTCAATTTCATAATGCTGATTATTTCTTAAATTCTGTACATACATAAAGATATCTGGTGTTAATAAATGTATTATACTGTATAACGATGACTTTCTGTCGTCCTTGTTCCTGTTTTCCTCGTCGGTGCGCCTGCGTTGAACCCCAATTTCCCGAACTTGGCAACTTCTCGAAATTGGCTGGGTCCCTTAAGGTGCCTATTATGGGAAGTTCCACTGTATATATACTTTTTCTTCTTTTTTCTTTTTTCATATTTTCTTTTCATTTATATTAGTTTCTTTACACACATATATAATTTTTCTTTTCTTTTTTTTCTTCTCCTTTCTTTTTCTTTTCTTTCTTTCTTGTAAGTTACCTCCATGCCAAGGGACGTTGGTCCTGCATGCAACCAGAGCTCGAGGAAGGTGCAAAGGAGCGAACTATGAAGCAGCAGCGTGGAAGCGAGTCATATCCCAAGGGCGGAAAGGCATTGTGTCATGTCCTGATCAAGTGACAAATTTTAAGTCCCGTGAGATTGTGGGATTTCTGCAAAGGACGTCTGCACAGTGCAGTTGTCATGGCACCATTCATTTTGATTATGTTTACTTTCTTCTCCCATTACTCTCGACTTTCCTCTTTTTTTTTCCTCACTCCTCTCCTTTCGTCTCGCTTTCCTTTTCTATATTCTCTCCCTTTCCATCCTCTACTCTCCTTTACCTTCTCTCCCCTTTCTTCGTCCTTTTCTTTCCTCCATATTTCCTCTATTTTCTTATTACCTATACTCCTCTCTTCTCCCCCTATTTCTCATCTTCTTTCTCTCCCTCGACTTTTTTTCCCCTTTCGTCTCTATCTGTGTACTTTCCTCTCCCTACCTCTTCTTTCCTCTTTCCCTTCCCCTCCTCACCTTTCATCACTTCCTTCTCCTTTTCCTTTCCTCTCTCATTCACCTTCCTCTTCTTTCATCTCTCACTTTTCTGTCTATCGTCTTCTCTCCCTTCCCATCCTCTTCTCTTTTCTTCTCCAACTCCCACGAGACAGAGATAGAGACCGGAAAATTTAGACAAAGAGAGAGAGAGAAGAGAGGAAGAGGAAAGGAAATATGGGGAGAGAGAAAGAAAATTTCCTAGTGGATACAGGCTATAAGTCAGTCTAATTCAAGTTACAGATTGTTGTTTGAATCAAGAAGCGATATATATATACATCTTTCCTCAAAATTTACGTGGCAAATAAAGATTCTTACAAGAAAGACAAAAACAAAAATACAAAAAAAAAGAAGCACGAATTCAAGAAATGTCCCTGACTTGGCTTCCGTGTCCCTCCGCAGGCAAAATGGGCTGGCTGGCTGAGACTGCCTTTGCCATGGTGCTTCTGGCGTCCGCCGCGGCATCACAGAGCAGCGACACGGGTATGTATTCTTTCATTGATTATTGTCCATGCTCAGTGTTTATGGTAAAAAGTCTATAGGCCAGGATATGATGCATGTACAATACGTATTTGTCTGCATTCAGTTCCCGTTAGGGAGTTCTTGTTACGAAGGAAGGAAAAAGAAAATACACAGGGAGAGAAAGGAGAGGAAGGGTAAGGGGAGAAGAGAGTAGAGGATAGGTAGCAAGAAAAGAGAGGAGGTGGAATACAGGAAAAAAGAGGACGTGGGGAGGGGAGAGAGAAAAAGATGAGTGGGGGGTGGAAAGGGAAAGGGGAGGGAAAAAAAGGTCTTTCGCTTTATTGCTTTTTTCAGGGCGTTAATCGAAAGGGACTTCGGCATACTCGTGTGTTTTCCTGTTCTCCCCGTCTTTGATTTACCTGCAATTTATTCAACATGAATCATACGCTTGGCTCTGACTCTTCTGCTGTTTAGGTCAGTCATATGTTGATAATTTTGATTCAGTGAATACAAACACGAACGCAGTAACGTGTATATAAATACGAAAAGGGAAAACAGCTACAATAAATAATGAAACAGTATCGCAACGTTTCGAACCCTTCATGAGTTCCTCTTCAGACGAATAATTAACCGAAGTGAAGAGGAACTCGTGAAGAGTTCGAAATTTTGCGATATCATTTCATCTCTTATAGTTGTTGTATTTCCTTTTAATTATAACTTTCCATCATATAACATGTATTTTCCCCTATTTTCGATTTTTTTTAATGAATCGGTATTTAGTAATACATCAGGTGATTAAATATGATTAACTATATTATACCATTTCATAATAAGAGTTCATAGCACGAGTCATTTAATACACATAAATAAACCTCTTTCAGAAATATTGATGACCTAACTGAAGTCTCAGTATCATCACCTGTGTCTCTCTTGAGCAGAAATCTATATTAAAATAGATGCAATAAGATCACGTACACACTGACACACGCACGCACCCACACCCAAACACAAACACAAACACAAACACACACACACACACACACACACACACACACACACACACACACACACACACACACACACACACACACACACACACACACATTATAGCTAAGATTATTTGTGAATTTAGTTCCTGATTATCACGTTATAACACAGCCATGAGTAATCAGCACAGTTTACGAGGAATCAGGTCTTTACAACTACTTCGGCGTAGAAAAAGTAATAAATGTAAATCCTGACCCTATCGTTCATTTCACATCAAAATTTCATGCAATAAATTGCTATTCGGGTTTTCAGAATGCTTGTGTTATCAATTCATCCGCGCGTCTGATACTTATTGTCTCATTCCAACAAATATCGCATTTTTTACACACATTATATATATATTTTCTTTTTTTATTTATACTTCTTTAAATGGAAATTCGCTGTTTACACGCATGTGGTTTTTATACCCTTTTTCATGAACGTGCTTCGTTAACTTGTGAAAATAGTGTTCTGTGCCTTTTTTATACTCTTTTTTTTTTCTTTGTTAACTTGATGTAAAAGGACTTGTATGCCAAATTCGCTCGTGTGGCATACAGCTGCTCTTGCTGGAAAATCCCTATCGTTCCGGGAGACTTCATCGCTACATCCAGCTGTGATCGAGCTGGCTACGAGATTGCTCAGTTGGAAATACCAACGGTGAAAATAGCCTCGTTTTCCAGGTACTTGGCAAGATGCCACAACTCACTTTCTCTTTCATTTCTGCGATGTTTAATTCCCCTTACTAGCCTTGCACTTAGGGAACGTTCACA